TTAATTACTGAATGAATGAACGAGCAAAGTGTTTGGATGAACAAATGAGTGAGTGAACATCGACTGAACGAGTGAACGAAAGAGTGCGTAAATGTAGTACAGTGCAGTATACCAAAATTCAGTTTAGTGTAGTTCAGTACATCATAGTTTAGTCTGTCTCTGTCTCTCGCTCTCTTTCTCTATTTCTCTCTTTCTCTATTTCTCTCTCTCTCTCTCTCTTTCTATTTCTCTTTCACTCTCTCTCTCCATCTCCGCCTCTATAAATTGTAATCATAATACACCACAGAATACTATGATACAATGCACCATAGAGTCATTTAGCGTAGTACAGTGAGGTGTGATGAATCCGTAGTCTGGGAGAGGAGTGTGTGAATAAATGAATAAATGAATGGGTTGTTGAATGAATGAGTTAGCGCGTCGATGTGAGCATGAAATAATGAATCAAGGGGTCGAGGGAAGTCAATAATTCAATGAGAGAGAGAGAGAGAGAAGAGAGAGAGAGAGAGAGAGAGGGAGGGAGGGAGGGAGGGAGGGAGAGAGAGAGAGAGAGAGAGAGAGAGAGAGAGAGAGAGAGAGTGTGACAGAGATCGAGACAAACAGACAGAGACAGAGATCGAGACAGAGAAAGAGACACAGAAAGAGAAAGAAAGAGAGAAAATAAACGCACCCATAAGTAAAAAAAAAAAAAAAAAAAAAAAAAAAAAATAGCTACCACCTTTCCACAAAAAAATTCGCCGCAAATTCCCCGCAAAATTCCCGCTTCCTCCGCAGTCCGGTTTCCTGACAAGGTGCGCGGGGAGAATTATGCGTGCCGTGTCTGCGGAGCGGCCGGGCGGTTCCTCCCACACCGAATCCGGCCGAAGTGCTCGCTCGCTCTGGCGGTGTCTCTTTTGAGAGAGAGAGAGAGAGAGAGAGAGAGAGAGAGAGAGAGAGAGAGAGAGAGAGAGAGAGAGAGAGAGAAGAGAGAGAGAGAGAGAGAGAGAGAGAGGAGGGGGGGGGGGGAGGGAGGGAGGGAGGGAGGGAGGGAGAGGGAGAGAGGGAGGGGGGGAGAGAGGAGAGAGAGAGAGAGAGGAAGAGAGAGAGAGAGAGAGAGAGAGAGAGAGAGAGAGAGAGAGAAGAGAGAGAGAGAGAGAGAGAGAGAGAGAGAGGAGAGAGAGAGAGAGAGAGAGAGAGAGAGAGAGAGAGAAGAGAGAGAGAGAGAGAGAGAGAGAGAGAAAGAGAGAGAGAGAGAGAGAGAGAGAGGAGAGAGAGAGAGAGGAGAGAGAGAGAGAGAGAGAGAGAGAGAGAGAAGAGAGAGAGAGAGAGAGAGAGAGAGAGAGAGAGAGAGAGAGAGAGAGAGAGAGAGAGGAGAGGAGAGGAGAGAGAGAGAAGAGAGAGAGAGAGAGAGAGAGAGAAGAGAGAGAGAGAGAGAGAGAGAGAGAGAGAGGAGGAGAGAAAGAGGAGAGAGAGAGAGAGAGAGAGAGAGAGAGAGAGAGAGAGAGAGAGAGAGAGAGAGAGAGACAGAGACAGACAAAGAGAGAACATAAGAGAATGAACAGAGCAAGCCAGTAAAGAAACCAGAAAGAAGAAAGAGAAAGAGAGAGACACAGAAGATTTAAAAAAACATCAAACGTATTTATAAAACACTGAGGTCGATACATCAGCGAGATCGGCATCGAGATAAGCAGATGGCCAAAAACAGACGCACACACACACACATATGTCGCGCATGTGTGCTTGTCCATGTGTTTATGTGACGTCTCCCCTCCCTCCCCCCTCCCCCTCTCCTCCCCCCCTCTGACCCCCCTGTCAACGGCATACTGACACCATGACGTCACACCCGCTGCCATCTGGGTGCAGGCAAAAGGATCTCACACAAAGAACAGTTATCAGGCAACTTTGACCTGGTTCCTTCCTCTCTCTCCTTTCTCTTCCTTCCTGTCTTTCTCTTTCGTCTCTCTGTGTCTGTGTCTCTCTGTCTGATGTATGTTTGTCTGTCTCTGTCTGTTGTCTGTCTGTCTGTCTGTCTGTCTGTCTCTGTCTGTCTGTCTCTCTATCCTCTCTCTTCTCTCTCTCTTCTCTCTTCTCTCTCTCTCTATCCTCTCTCTTCTCTCTTCTCTCTCTCTCTCTTCTCTCTCTCTCTCTCTCTCTCTCTCTCTCTCTCTCTCTCTCTCTCTCTCTCTCTCTCTCTCCCTCTCCCTCTGAAGCACACACTACCTCCTATTTATCCATTAATCACCCTTTCGTCTTTCACAAGCTATTACAAAATCACATACACATAAAATAACACAAACAAATATGACGAAATGAAAAAAATATAAACAAAAGAACGTAAAAAAAAAAAAAAAACCACGTAACAAAAACGAATCAATATGACGAATAAATGAAAAAAACACGTAACAAAAAAATAAAAAAATATAAATACAAAACGAATCAATATGACGATTAAATGAAAAAAACAAAAAACACGTAACAAAGAATGGCAAAAGCGAACCGCCATTGGCCAACCGTCGCCGCTTTCCCCGGGTGTCTCGAAGCGCGCCAAAAGGAAGGATTTTCAAACAGCGTGACGGTTAGCATATTGTGTCACCTCATTCTTGCGTTTATTGAAGAAAAAACACGATATTGTTCTTGTTCTTTAATGATGTAAGAGCAAAAGAGATATTTCGTAGTCTTTCAAAATAATAAAAGGTGTGTCAAGGTTGTTATTGTAATATGTACAGGTAGGTTTGTGTGTGTATATTTACGAATAAACGCACATGCACGTGCACATACGCAAGCACGTGCACACACGCAAGCACATGTACGTACACACGCACACATGTACGCCGCACACACACACACACACACACACACACACACACACACACACACACACACACACACACACACACACACACACACACACACACACACTCACTCACACGCACGCTTGCCCTAACTCGCACATAAACACTTATTACAAACGAAAAGAAAGTTAGTTAACTCCCAAAGTTTATTTTCTCGCAAGCCAAAAAAAAAAACGCAAACTTTAGCAAACTCGAGGTACAAACTGCAAAATATGGGAGGACAAAATCGTGCTCTTGGCTTGTGCAAAACCCCTCAGGTAGGAGTAAGAATTATATAAATAGAAAGAATAAAAATTAAAATGTTTTTTTTCCTTTTCCTTATCTCTCTCTCTCTCTTTTTTCTTTCTCTTTCCCTCTCACTTGCTTATTTCATCTTTTCTCCTTCCCTCTCTCTTTTCTCTTCCTTATTCACCTTTCACCTATTCCTTCTTTCTTCCTTCTCTCCCTTCCTCGTGCTTCCATTCTCTCCTTTCCTCGCTCCTTTCTTTCCTTTCTCTCTCTCTCTCGCCCTCATTTCATACCTCCTTCTCCTCCTTCCTTCTCTCCCTTCCTCCCTCCATCTACTTCTTCCCTATCTCCTCTTTTCCCCTATCTCCCTCCCTTCCTTCTCTATCTCCCTCTGTTCCTTCTTCTCCCCTCTCCTTCTCCCTCTCCACCTCCCTTTCTTCCTACCCCTTCTGCTGCCCCATCTCCTCTCCCCCCCCCCCGTCTTTTCCCTCCTCCCCCTCCCCCTCCCCTGTCCCTCCTCCTCCCTGTCCATCCTCCCCCTTCCCCCTCCCCCCGTCCTTCCTCCTTTCCCCCTCCCCCTTCCCTCTTCGTCCCCTTCCCTCCCTCCTCCTCCTCCTCCTTCGTATCTCTTCCTCCACCAAGAAACCGAAGACCAGAGAAAACGGATTAGAATAAATGAATGAAAACAGATATCGAAGTAAAATTAACTAATAATAATAATAATAAATAAATAAATAAATGGATATCGAATAAATAAATGGATAAATGGATAACGAAATAAATAAACTAATAATTAAACGGTCACATGAATTAATTGATTAGCGAATAACGATATAAACGCATATCAAGAAAAACATGAATGAACAAAGAAATGAATAATTGACAAAAAAAAAGAAGAAAAATACCACCTTGTAGGAACCTGTCCATCACACCGTTTCGAGCCAAACCCAGTCTCCTCTTCAGGATCTTTTCGGTTTTAACACCTGATGAGGAGTTCTCGTTTTCACTCGAAACGTAATGTCACATCGTACCTTCCATACCGTGGTTGTCGTTAATTTAATTGATCTTATTCACTGTTTGTATTCTCGTTCATAAACACATTATTTCATAATATAGATAACACGGACTTAATGAGTAAATAAAGTTTATTTTTATTATTATACAATATGGATAATACGCGTTTAATGGGTAAATAAAGTTTATTTTTGTCTTAAAATGATTAAAAAAATTACACAAGTAACTAGATTTATTTCAAAGTATTCTTTTCTCTTTTCTCTTACACAATACAAACACATTTTCTGACGAAAACCTTTTTTTTCAATATCATTATCATCATCCACGACAACACAGAATCAATTTTCTTTTCTTTCTTGTCTTTCTTACAGAGAACACGCGAGAAAAAGATTTATATTCCAACTTCTATTTGAAAGAAAAATGAAAAAAAAAATCTTTCATATCTCGGATCGGAAAAACAAATATTTCTTTCAAAAGTAATACTATATAAAAATGTGAAAAAAAGATTATTCACCAAATCCATAAATATGAATTGATAACAAAAAAAAAATAAATAAAATAAATATAGAGATTCAAATAAATAACATTTCCCAAATAACGAAAATACATATAAAAGTGAACTAGTTGGAAGATTTCCTTAATACGAAACTGATAAAAGTAATTAAACAACAAGAGAACAAAAATGCAAACTAAACTGAACTGAACTAAACTAATAAAAAAGAGAAAAAATACTAAACTAACACAAAACAAAAAAAGAAAATAATAATAACCTAAGAAAATCTAAACTAAACATAAAAAAATAGCAAATGAACGAAGATATACAAACAAAATATCAACAAGAACTAAAAACAACCTAAAAACACACACACAAAAACACCATAAACCCCCCCCCCCCCCCCCCAACAAAGAAAACCGCCCCACTCACCCTCCCCGACGGCGCCTCCCACCGCACAGTGAAGGAGTAGGGCGTGAGGCTGCGGAGGTCAAAGGTCACGTTGCGAGGGGGCAGCGGCAGCGTCCGGTACTCGGCCGTGGTCGGCTCCGATATCTGGTCCTCGCTCACGGTCTCCACGGTGATGTTGTAGGCGCGACCTTAGGGATGGGTGGGGGAGGAGGGAGGAGAGGGGAGGGAGGGAGGGGAGAGGGGAGAGGAAGGGGAGAGGGGGGAGGGAGGGGAGGGGGAGGGAGGGGAAGGAGAGAGAGAGAGGGGTGGGATGGGGGGGGGAGGAGAGGAGGGGAGGGAGGAGAGAAAGAGAGAGAGTGGGGAGAGAGAGGAAGGAGAGAGGGGGAGTGGGATGGGAGGGGGGAAGGAGGAGGGTGGGGGAGAGGGAGGAGAGGGGTGGGGAGAGAGGAGGAGGGATGGAGGGAGGGAGAGGAGGAGGAGGGGAGGGAGGGGGGAGGAGGGGATGGGGAGAGGGGTGGGGGGGAGAGGGGGGGATGGGGGAGAGAGGGGAGAGGAGGGAGGAGGGGAGAGAGGGAGGAGGGGAGAGAGAGAGAGAGGAGAGGGAGAGAGAGGGGGGGGGGAGAGGGAGGGGAGGAGGGGGGAGGAGGGAGGAGGAGAGGGGGGGCGAGGAGAGAGAGAGGGAGAGAGAGGGGGGAAAGGGGGAGAGAGGGAGAGAGGGGGGAGAGGGAGAAGAGAGAAGCGAGAGGGGGGGGAGAGGGAGAAGGGGAGTGAGTAAATGAGTAAATGGATAAATACAAAACATGTATAGGAATGGATAACAGCAAGGAAAGGTGAATATACGATTAATAGACACATATTTGCATGTATATAAACATATATATGTATACGTACACACATACATACACACATGGAAGCACACACACACACACACACACAATCAAACAAACAAAATAAAACACACACACACACACACACACACACACACACACACACACACACACACACACACACACACACACACACACACACACACACATGTGCGTGTGTGGAAATTCATGATGAACAGATTGCAACAGGACAACGAAGGGAAGGGCAAGAAAAAACACACGAATATGCATATTCGTGTGTTTTCTTGCCCTTCCCTTCGTTGTTCCTGTTACACACACACACACACACACACACACACACACACACACACACACACACACACACACACACACACACAAACAAACACACAAACACACCTACACACACACACACACACACACACACTCACCTCCACCCACCCACCCACACACACACACACACAAACACACACAAAACAAACACACACACACACACACACACACTCACACCCACTCACGCCCCACGATCAGCCTCGCGGGCCTGGGCGTCAGTTGCTCACCGGGCACGAGGCCGTTGAAGGGCGCCTCGGCCGGGCCCGCTGGGTCGCCCTTCTTCTGGACGCTCCGCACGCTCTCCACGGCGTCAGGGGGGTCGATGCTCACCTGGGGGAGGGGGAGGGGGGGAAGCGGTTAGAACTGGGTCTGTTTTTTTTTTTTTTTTTTCTAGATCTTTTTTATGTATTTGTTTTTTCCCTTCCCTTTTCTCTTCTTTATTTTTTTTCTTTCTATATCTATTTTCCTGTCTTTGTTTTTTCCCTTCCTTTTTCTCTTTTTCTTTTCTTTATTTATTTTTCTGTCATTCTTTTTCTCTTTCTTCTGTTTTTTTTTCTTTTCTGTTTTTCTTTTCACTTTCTTTTCTTTTCTTTATTTATCTTTTTTATGTCTATTTTCACTTCCTATTTCTCATTCTATTTTGTGTGTCTTGCTTTTTCTCTCTTTCTTTTTCTGTCTTTATTTCTATATTTTCTCTTCTTTTTTTCTGCTTGCAACTTTTAACTCTTACTTATGAGTCAAGGAATTAGTTTCAGAAAGTTGCTTTTCTTTTTTTCTTTTTTTTTACTGTTATTCTTTTTATTTATATTTTTTTGTGGATTGAGAAATTGCTCTTGTTATTCTTGCTTATTATACCTATTCCACACATACACATACATTCATTTATAAAAGCAGTTACCTTATATTTAAGATAAATCGACAAAAGTTGACAGACGGATTCAAAAACTGTCTTTTGGGAGAAAATGTATAGCATCACTTGGTATAAACGATAAACGTAATAATAATAATAATATAATAAGTAATTATAATAATTAATAATAATAATAATTAATAATAATAATTAATAATAATAATAATAATAATAATAATAATAATATATAATAATAATAATAATAATAATAATAATAATAATAATAATAATAATAATAATAATAATATAATATATAATAATAATAATAATAATAATAATAATAATAATAATAATAATAATAATAATAATAATAATAATAATAATAATAATAATAATTAATAATAATATAATAATAATAATAATAATAATAATAATAATAATAATAATAATATAATAATAATAATAATAATAATAATAATAATAATAATAATAATAATA